TCTATTTCGCAATTTTTATTTCTTTATTTTTCAATAAATGAACCCTTGACTTTAAAGAGAATTAGCTTTGACATAAAAAATGACAACGGAATAAAAAATTCCAACTAATTTAATAACAACGAATGACATCACGATAAACAAAGTGTCATATATCACAGCAAATTGGTAAATAGAGATATTTGTTCGAATTTGATTTGGCACAATTTTTACATAGTGAATAGCATACATGCTAAATATATACAGAATACGCCAAGTATACACATAACTGCCAAGGGCGTAATTAGCGAGTCATCTTATTGTATTCATAAATATATTATTGTGTGAAAATAGTGTGATAATAACTCATTAGCATTTGAAATTAAACATGTTATTCATTAGCTGCTGATAAATCCTCGAAACAGGAAAAAATATATGATACAATTAGATTATTTAATCATCTTTCATCATAAGGGCTTCATGAACGGAAAAAGCCACGCATCACACATGTTAAAATAAGGTTTAAAGCATGTGTTCACATGTAGATCGTGCTTTTAGAAATATAATAAACAAACTATTATCTATGAATATATATAAAAGATTGGTAAGATCTTTGCTTTTACAAAAAAAAAAACCGACTTTCTTCGCTTATACTCAACCAAAATGCAACAAATTAGTCAATATATTCAAGCTGGTGTTGGTGAAGCAACTCGTCTTGCGGGTGTCGCTCAAACAGAAATCACCAAAGCTGCCCAACAGAATAATGTTAATTCACCATTACCTTCAGATTTCTCAAGTGAAGTTGAAAAGGCCACAAAAATTTTAAGTGTCTTCACTGGTGAGTTAAGATATTTTTATGTTCATTATATTAAATTCGGTATACTTACTTTTTAGTTCAAGATTTAGAGAAACCTGGCAACACTGTATCAAATATAATTCCTAGAGATATCATCAAGAAAGCCAAAGGACTAGCGGTCTTCACCATCTTTAAGGCCGGTATGTTTTGGTCAGGTCAAGTTGGCTCAGGTGTGGTGATTGCACGTCTAGAAGACTCTGACGAATGGTCTCCTCCATCATGTATCAGTATTGGTGGACTCGGTTTCGGAATGCAAATGGGAGCCGATGTTAGCGATTTCGTAATAATCTTAAACACTCCTGAAGCAGTCAAAGCATTTAGTCGAGGCGAGAATGTCACACTTGGCGGAAACCTTTCTGTTACCGCAGGCCCTGTTGGAGTCGGAAAGTCGGTTTCCGGTACCATATTAGAAGGAGCGCCGACCGCTCTATACTCCTATAGCAAAAGCAAAGGATTATTTGCTGGCGTTTCTGTTAATGGAACTATTTTGATTGAACGTAAGGATGCCAATAAAGCATTCTACAAAAAAGACGTTACCGCGGAGCAAATCTTGACCGGTCAAGTTGAAGTTCCCGAAGGTCAAAATATTAGCGAGTTAATTGAAGTCATCAAGAAAGCCGAGTCTGTTGAAATTCCAGAAGAAACAGAAACAGAAACAGAAACTAGTGCCACTATTGGATAAAAATAATCAAATTTTCGTTTCGATACTAGGGTAGAAAAATTGGAAATTTGAAAAAATGGGCAATATAACATTTATGAACATTATGAATATTTAGATTAAGATTATAATAACTATTAATAATTAGCAACATTATTTACCTTAATTTTTATTTCAAATAAACTCATGTTAATTTTGATGAAAAGATAAAAGTATTTGCTGAATTACTCTCAAATTTGATATGTAGATCCAATGCATTTCGAACCCTCACTATCTAAAACGCAAAGGTATAATTTTCGAATCATCAGAGGTTTACCTAACAGTATATAATTTTTTACGCTAAGCATTTTTATTTAGCGTCAAAATTAGTTAACATTGTGATTTTTCTAATACATTTTTGTCGTTACGCTTGTTTTTTATTCTTATAGTGCAGGACATCACGAAAAATAGATAATTTTTAAAAATAATTCTATAAACATGCTAAATAAACTAATTTCCGTAAATCATGTGTAATGTATCAAAATTTTCCGAATACAAATAACAACACAAACATTGATAGTCTACACCTTTGCAGGCCGGTAAACTTCTATATCGGGCATCAAAAAAAAACCTACAATCCCTAACCATGGCGAAGAAAAGATTCACGTGATGACGAATCAAATCGATTAATAAAGACAAATTTTTGATCAGCCCGGCAAAACAAGAAATAAAAATTGCGAAATAGATATCTAAATCTACTTGGGGCATGTCGGGAAGGCAATTTTGCATGTAACCTCTGCTCGAACACTAAATCTATTATTTGATTTTAATATGATCACTTGAAGTTAGGGTACTTATTGACGATATCTCGACGCCACTTTACGATGACATCTAGTGAGCGAAAGTATTGCTATTCGATTCATCTAGTCAAAGTGAATCGAATGGTAGTATTTTCACTTGAGTTGGATCATTGTACATCGAGATATTACGTAAATCGGTCACTATAGAATGCAACATCTCGACGTTCAGTGACCGATTCGAGCGAAAATACTATTAATTTGTTTCGACTAGACAAATCGAATCGGTTCGAGATATTCGACTAACATTCCTGATTTAAAATTTTACCTATAAAAGGCGTAGATGATCAGAAAAAATTATTGGGATTAATTATTTCACATGAATATCAAGTAATTTTTCTTTATATATAGCGGCGACCAATTAAAACCTCGATAGAGTTCAGCTCAATATAACGAATCTACTAACAAACTCACAATATATTTTTCTCTATTGTCCGAATTCACTGTACATGTTTTTTAATTTCGATCTGCATTAATCTTATTTCTGATCAAAATTACAATTTAGTGATCGACAAGAAATTCTGGTTTGTGACGCAGTAAATATGTGACAATTCTTAAATCAAGCTCTAACGAGTATATCTATGTGCTTTCCAATCCATTTTGGTTAGATTTATTTTTATGATCTGCATTGTCTTATTTAATATGTTTAGCATATATCTACTATATCACTTGATATGCATATGCATAATAATAACTCTTGCAAATTTTTAAATTCTTTATATCACATAATATAGCTTTTGTCATAGCTAATATATTACTTTGTATATTATTGTTATAGTGATAGTGCATAATAATTTTGGATTCCATTTGCTATTATCTTGGATAATAATTTCCTTCTTATAAGTTTTATAATTTTGTTTCATCATCATTATTATTTTATTTTCACAAATTTCTCCCTTTAAAATTAGATTTTAAATTTTCTAGATCATCTGTTATGTGTTAGATCTTGTTGGTGAGTTTTTGATAATTATTCTTGTCACTTTATTAATATTTTTATTAGCATTTTATACTTCTTACAGTTTCTTTCAGTTTAATTTTTGGTGAGATAAGTAATTTATTTTTTTTTGTGAGTACTTATTATAATTATTATTTAATTATTACATATTTTGTGTATTTGATATTCAATCTTGTATTCTATTCATAATACTTTAAGTTAGTTATGTTTATTATTATCAAATAATTTTAATTATGAATAATTTAGTTATGAAAATATATTTTTATTATATGTATATATAAAGAGAAACTTTATTTAAAATAATTATTATAAGAGACTATAAGAAAAATTGAGAATAAACAAAAAAATGAAATATATAATTGTAATTAATATTTTTATTTTTTAATATGATAATAGATTCTATTCATTTCAGAATCAGGAATAATATATTTATCATATAAAAAAATAATTAATTTTCTTTTTATTCTTGCATCTATAATTATTTTTAAGCTAATATTAGTTATTTGATTTCAGTCCATTTGATTATATCAATCTCATATTTTTTAAATAGCTCTAATCTAATCTTTAAAAATAATATTAGGAATCTTTTTAGACTTATTCATCTCCTAAGCAAAAGCAACATATAAAATTGATACTGGATAGAACTTTTAACATACTGCAAAAATATGCTTACATGTAATTTCACAAAATTTAAAGTCTGAATAAGTATATTGAAAATGAATTAGTTTAATATTATTACTTTTTTGTATATATTCTTTTATATTAACTTTATGATTATTAATTAATAATTTCACAAGATAATATTAATTACTAGATATAGTAAAGATATCTATATTCAAGTCAGAATTAGCAAGTTCTCAATATTTTTACTCTCTTTATCATGGTTTTATTCTTTCAATTATTAAATAAATAATTTCACATTCAAATTCTACATCTTTTAAAGCAGCTTATAAGATCCAAATTAAAGTATCAATTTGATAATTGTGTTTAGCTTTTAGATATGTATATTTAAACTTTTTATACTAAGATTCAATAAAATTTATTGTATTCATTTCTTGATACTTATATAATTAATAAATATTAATCTATTTCTAATAATTTTCTTAATATTCTCTTTTAATATATTTAATTTATTTTGCTTTATCAAATGCTATTCACTAAGTAAAATACTCAACAAATTTATTTTGTACTTGAAAAGCATCTTAAATTTATATTATGATATCAAGTTTATTTTTTGTGTTATTTGTTTTTTTGATCATTTGAGAATATTATTATCAAGATTTTTTTCTTGAGTTTTGAAATAGTTACTGTTCACTTTAATTTTACTCTTGTTTTTTTGCCAGGTATTTTTTACATGCCATTGACAGAGCAAGATTTTGGTATTAGAAAATATTATATTAATAATATTTTGTTGTGCATTATCATATTTAGTAAAAAAGATATGAGATTTTTATTTTTGATTCTGATTTTTTATAGTTTTGAGCCAAAAAATTAATATTTCTCCTGTTTTTTTTCTCTGATATTAAATATATTATAAACATATCTTGTTTACTCTCATCATCTTATACTAATAAAGTAAAGAGATTTATTTTATATAATGATATTCTATATGTTTCATCCAGATATACTATTTACATACTTTTTAATTTTAATATCTTTTTTTGAAACTCAGTCTGAAATCCATACATATAACCTAAGGGTAATTCTCAAATCAAGTTATTACAGGTATAAGATTCATCTTGTTGTAACAAGATGATCTATTCTTTAATAGATGTATCCTCATTATAATTTTCTTTTTTGTCATCTAAAAAAATTACATTTTTCATTTTCTCATGAATGATATTATACATATCAATATAGAAAAGATATATATCATATTTTTGCATTAAGATCAAGAAGCTCAGATTATCTATATTTTGAAGTTGATTAATATATTAGTAAAACATCAACATAATTTAAAAAAGCTTTATTCCATTTTTTACTCTTGTGCAGATATATTTTTTTGCCTGTTAGAATAATTGAAAATATTATAAATCTTCATCAGCATCAGGAGTATGTTTATTATGAAGTATATAATAAATAATATGAATAATATTTTTCTTATCATTATAATATTTTAATACTCATAAATAAGATTTACATTCTAATTTTTTGAATAATTTTTAAATAGAATGAGACTGATTATAATCTAATAAAAATTTAATAGTTTGTTTTATTATACTAGCTGTAAATCTAGATTTTTCAGAATAATGACAAAGATATCTTTTATTTAACTTGTATTCTAACTTTTCTCAGTTATCTTTGTAAAGATAGTAGATATCAAAAATATTTAGAAGAATATTTTTAATCTAATTCTTATACATATCTAATTAAAGATGAGTGTAAACTATTATATAATTATTTGAATTTATTTCTTGAAATACATCATTATTTGCTTCTTTTTCTTTTAATTCAGATTCTAATTTAGCAAAAAATAATTAATTAGCATATTTAATAGTTTTACTAGTCAAGTTAATGAATAGGTAGTTGATAGATATAGTTTGATTTTGATTGATAAATATATTTGAATCAGAGAATATGATGTATATTAATAAATGATTTTACAATTATTTTTTTATAATAATGTATTTGAAAAGGAATTTTTATATTTTAATATTTTGTGTATTAGATATTTTCATGAAGTTAAAAAGATACAATAATAATAATATTAAATATTTTTTGTATATCCAGAATTAATATGTTAGTTCTCTATTATTTCATGTAAGATAATTTTTTAATCAGTCTTCACATATTAAAATAGTTTTCTTGATTATCAAAAGTAATATATATATATATATATTAAGCATATTTCTATATCAAAAACTTCTTTTCATCTCATCAATCAGGATTTATTAATTGATCAATCATATTATATCATTATTTATAAGATTTCTTATTAATAAGTACAATGCTAAAAAAAGATAAAAAAATTAATATATTATCAATCAAAAGATAGATGTTAATAATATTAATATTAAAGATATTGATAAATCATTATACTTAACTTTTAGTTATTCAAGTTTTTCCTACAGTAAGATATTCATATCTTGCTATTTTTTTTGGTATTATATTTCTTATATAAGCTACTATATCAACTGAACTGAAAGATGATATTGAAAGATGAATTTCTAATTAAGATAAGTAACAAACTATCAAGAATTTTTTATATTATATACTTTTAACTATATTTAATA